AATCAAATTTCTAGGGTAGAACCAAAAGTCTTTACGATCCTTAATCGAGAATTCAAAGCGTTTCTCAAGTGTTCTATTGATTCCGTCAGTAGGTTTTCCTTCACTATGACCATTCTCAAAGTTTGAATCTCTTTTAGCTTTTTCGTACATTCGACTTTCACTTTCATCTGTAGATGATTGATGATCAGTCGTATCGTATCTCTTGATTGATTCCAAATAAGAATAAACTTTTGATTGCCATTTACGTTTAGTTCTCGATTTTGTTGACTTGAGACGATTCTGGACTAATTTCAATGATCGTCTAAGAAATTTGATGGAATCTCGATTTAGAGACAATTTGATACGAAAACGATAATTCTCATCAATATCCAATATAATCGATTCTGCCAATGAACTTATTTCTTTATAACTATCGACATCAACATAAGGTAAATCAATATCAGGATCAGCTTCCATTTCAATCCAGTCACTAGCGTTATTTGTAATATTAGCATAAGAATTATCACCAAACGCCATTAGTTTGCCAGAATGGGTCAATGAGTTTCTCTGGTCAAGACAAGACAAGCTTGATTCACTTAATTCACCACTTTCACAATGATTAGCACTTCCATCACTAAGATAATTTGTTAATTCCATGACAATTATAAAATTTCCAAAGGTGATAATCAACAATTGATAATCAATAAAACACCACAAATAAAAACATCTGATACGAGAAAACTTTACAAATGAACTGCTGAAGTAAGTTAACAATTGTTTTCTTCATACAACTATGAGTGTTTCTAATTAACAGATGTATCAATTGTAATTAGGTTAAAATCATCTTATAGTCAAAATCTAATTGATTTGAAATAAGAAACAAATCAATCAAAATAAAAATGAATCAATTCTAGTAAAGACAAACTGACGGCTTACTTTGATTACAATTTCTACAAGAGATTCCAATGTAAACCGTAAACGCATTGGTATATTCCTTTACATCAAACCGATAAGATTCTAGAAGCTTCTTTTCATCATTTCATAAATCCCATCGATGAAACTTTTCGAATCATTCCATGATCAAAGTTTCGAAAGAGAAACACCAGAAAATAAGAGGAAATTCACAATAAAATCAAAGCACCAACAAATCAAAACAGTAAATATCTCAATAATTAAAATAAAACATAGAATTAATAATAAGTTGAATTAAGTTTTTCTTGAACTCAAAAATTACTTAAATTGATTGCACCTAAGCGTAAGTATTAATCAATACAATCAAAAATTAATTTCGAGCAGTTATAATGAAGAGAACTATCTTGATAATGCTTTTATCGATTATATATTTGTCACAATTGATTTAATTTACGTGTGAAACATTTGATTATTGATTTGATGTTTATTTTTCTGGACAATTATGAATCCTCGTTGGATTACTTCTGAGGAAAAAATGACCACACCGACCACAGAAACAAGCAAAATTTGAATGAATGCGCTCTAAATGTTCTATTACCGACGATCGAGCAGAATAAACGGTACCACAAAGCGGACATTTGGCCTTTCCATTTTCTTCACGAATAAGACGACCGAAAATTTGACTCAGTCGTTTGAGATTAATGTTGTAGAGTTTCCCTTGTGACATTCCCTTGAGAACTCGTTTAGCAGTTTCCTTGGGTATTTTCGGTACTAATAATTGCTCGAAATCGGACTCATTCCAAGGTACTTTGTTTTGCACATGACTGAAAACGTGAGGATCTGGATTAAGTTTCGTTGATATTTGTAGCCGCTTATCAAGGTGATCTGTGGTATATGAACGAATATTCACAGGGAAATTTTGTTCTTGTATTCGTCCATTTTCAATCAAATTTCTAGAGTAGATCCAGAAGTCGGTACGATTATAGACTGGAAGTTCAAAGCGTTTCTCGAAAGTACTATTGATTCCGTCAATAGGTTTTCCTTCACTATGATCAACTCCGAACTTTAAATCTCTTTTAACCTTTTTGTACACTTGACTTTCATTTTCACTTTCACTTTCATCTGTTGATGATTGATGATCAGTTTTATCGTATCTCTTGATTGATTCCAAATAAGAATAAACTTTTGATTGCCATTTACGTTTAATTGTTGACTGTATTGACTTGAGACGATCTTCGACTAATTTCAATGATCGTCTAAGAAATTTGATGGACTCTCGATTTAGAGACAATTTAATATGAAAAGAATCATTCCCATCAAAAGCTAACATAATCGATTCCGCCAATGAACTTGTATCTTCATTACTATTGACATCAACATAAGGTAAATCAATATCAGGAACATCTTCCGTTTTACTCCAATTACTCGGACTAATCTTAATTTTGGCATAACGATCATCACCAAAGGCCATAAATTTACCAAAATGAGCCAATGAGTTTCGCTGGTCAAGACAAGACAAGCTTGATTCACTTAATTCGTCACTTTCACAATGATACGCGATTCCACTGAGATAATTTATTAATTCCATGACATAAAATTTCCAAAGGAGATACGCATCAATTAATAATCAATAAAACACTGAAAACAATAACTACCTGAAAACAACACAAATGAAATGAAATCAAATTGATTTCAAATAAGAAACAAATCATCCAAAATAACAACAAATATTCAATAATGGTAAAGACAAACTAACTGAATTCAATGTTGAAATACTAATAATTAGTATTTAAGACTAGAGATATTTTTACTCTTTGCACATGTATGATAATTGTCACAAAGCATAAACAAATTGTATTGTCTTTGATGCCGTGAATAACAAACAACTAATTGTAAGACAATTAAGTGTTGATATTCAAGGGTCATTTTTAAAATATGTAATCAACAGTTGAAGATATTGAATTTAAACCAGATTAAACAAATCTCACAATCAAGAGTGACGATAATCACTCAAAGATAATTAGTCAATAGAGATACTCTTTATCTGATATAATGGTTTTTCATTTGAAGCAACAACATTCATAGTCTCCCCTTAGTGGGTCATTATTATTATGCAAGGATTAGCCTAAGAGATTAATCCTCTTGTTTATGTTGACGGCACTTAAAATTGCTCGATTTCCTTTATTCAATTATTTTAGTGGAATCAATAGCCACTTTCAAATCAATCGACTACAATAGAATCCAGTATCAGTCAGAGCTTTTAGAATGTTGCTTTTAATTAGAAAATCTATGTGAGAAATTAATTAAACAGGAGAAAAATTAACAAACATTGCATAAATTTATTAATTTTGATGGCTACTTTTTGATAGACAATTGTGGTACCTTGTTCGAGTATTACTAAGAAAAAAATGACCACATCGACCACAAAAACAAGCGAAATTTGTATGAATGCTTTCCATGTGTCTTATGACCACTGGTCGACAACTATAAGCTTTATCACAAAGCGGACATTTGAACTTTCCATTTGCTTCTTCACGAATAAGACGAAGGAACATTTGACTCAATCGAGAATAATCAACAAGGTAGAGTTTCCCTTGTGACATTCCCTTAAGTACTCGTTTAACAATCTCTTCGGGTATTTTGTGTACCAATAGCTGCTCAAAATTGGACTCGTCCCAAGGTTCTTTATGTTGTACATGAGCGAAAAAGTAAGGATCTGGATTAAGTTTCGTTGAGGTTTTCAGTCGCTTATCAAGGTGATCTCTGGAATAGGAACAAATATTTATCGGGAAATTTTGTACTTGTATGCGTCCATTTTCAATCAAATTCTTTGGGTAGTACCAAAAATCTTCACTACGATTAACTCTGAATTGAAAGCGCTTAAGTGCTCCGTTGGTTCCGTCGATAAGCTCCGCTGAGTTCGCGAATTCGGAATCTTTTTTAACTCTCTTGAACACTTTACTTCCATTTTCGCTTTCACTTTCATATTTGGACTCATGTTGATGGTCAGTTTTACGTTTGGTCCTTGAATTTTTTGGTTCGAAACGATCTTCGACCAATTTTAATGATCGTCTAAGAAATTTTACTGAATTTCGGTTCAGAGAAAATTTAATATAAATCGAGTCACTCATAGTCTTAGCTAACTCAATTGATTTAACTAAATGTTTCTTTTTTTCATGAACATCGACATCAACATGAGGCAGATCATTGTAATGATGACCACCAATGTCTGTTGTTTTCTTAGGGTCAAACAACACATTTGTTTGATCACCAACTTGATTATCTCCACAATGATCATCACTTTCACTTTCACTAAGATAATTTCTTGATTCCATGATGTCTTCAAGTTTCAAAGTAGATGATCAACAATTTTCAATCAATAAAACACCAAAAGAGTAATCAAAACTTTTACAATTATAAAACTTGAATTTAAAATGAACAACTGAATCAATTCACTAATTGTTCACAAATCAACAGATGTGATGGTTGTTAATTGTTGTGCTTTAATCAGCTAATTTCTCTCATTGTTATAATAACAAAAACATAAAATAAAAGCCAAATTGGCGGTTCGCTTTAATTATTTTTCATAAACGATTATCAAAATAATCGTTTTTTTGATTTCTCTCAATTTCTACCATCGATTAGTACATTTGGCAAAGTTTAGTATTCTTTGTGCTTCGGGCCCCACGTAGGTCACCAAAGAATATGAGATAATCGCTTATCGGAAGTAATGGATGAGCTTTAATAATAAGAATCGGATCAGTTGGTGATTATATATAAATCATGCTGAATTTTTCTTTCAGGATATTTTCATTAGGAAGGTCATCTAATCTGATCGTTTTATAAAATATTCCATCTATGATTCGATTTTTTTCTCCAAATCTAGGAATCGATTAAGTCTCCGTTTATCAGCTTCAATCGATTTCGCCAAATAATTTTCATAACCATCGACATGCGGGAAATCGTTGATGTACATAAGCGAAAGTGTAATATAATCTCTTGGTCACTGAGTGAAAGAGGAAATTAACAATCAAATCTTAGCGCCAACAATTCAAAACAGTAAATGTAATGTTAATTAAAGTATTCAGAACAACAGATCGATTGATTGTAATTTAATTTAATTATGGTAAAACATTTAATTCTTTGTCACAATTGTATAATTTTTCATTTAATTATCTACTTATGAATTTCAATGTTCATCTTTAGACGGACATTTGTGAATCCGTGCTCGACCACTTCTAAGGAATAAATGACCGCACCGACCACAAAAACAAGAGAAATTTGAATGAATGCTTTCCAAATGTTCTATTACCGACGATCGAGTATTATAAGCTCTCCTACAGAGCGGACATTTGGCCTTTCCATTTATTTGTTCATGAATAAGCCCATAGAACAATTGACTCAAGCGAGAATAATCAATATTGTAGAGTTTTCCTTGTGACATTCCCTTGATTACTCGTTTAGAAGTTTCCTTGGGTATTTTTGGTACTAACAATAATTGCTCGAAATCGGACTCATCCCAAGGTACTTTGTTTTGCACATGAGTGAAAAAGCAAGGATCTGGATTAAGTTTCTTTGAGGTTTTCAGTCGCTTATTAAGGTGATATATGGAATAGGAACAAATATTCACAGGGAAATTTTGTTCTTGTATTCGTCCATTTTCAATTAAATTTCTAGTGTAGATCCAAAAGTCTTTACCATTCTTAACTCTTAATTGAAAGCGTTTCTCGAAAGTACAATTGATTCCGTCAATAGGTTTTCCTTCACTATGATCAACTCCGAACTTTAAATCTCTTTTAACCTTTTTGTACACTTGACTTTCATTTTCACTTTCACTTTCATCTGTTGATGATTGATGATCAGTTTTATCGTATCTCTTGATTGACTCCAAATAAGAATATACTTTTGATTTCCATTTACGTTTAATTGTTGACTGTGTTGACTCGAGACGATCTTCGACCAATTTCAATGATCGTCTAAGAAATTTGATGGACTCTCGATTTAGAGACAATTTAATAAGAAAAGAATCATTCCCATCATAAGCTAACATAATCGATTCCGCTAATGAACTTGTATCTTCATTGCTATTGACATCAACATAAGGTAAATCAATATCAGGAACATCTTCCGTTTTAATCCAATTACTCGGACTAATCTTAATTTTGGCATAACGATCATCACCAAAGGCCATTAATTTATCAAAATGAGCCAATGAGTTTCGCTGGTCAAGACAAAACATTCTTGATTCACTTAATTCACCACTTCTACAATGATTAGATCCACTTTCACAATTTAGATAATCCGTCAATTCCATGAAAGTTACAAATGAGATAATAAACAATTACAATTCAATTTTAAGCAATAAAACACCAAAAACAAGCACCAATCAACTTCACAAATGAACTTTAGGAGTTAATGTTCACTCATACAAGTTTAGGTTAAAATCATCTTTTAGTCAAAAGCAAATTGATTTCAAATAAAAAACAAATCAATTTAAATAATGAATACTAGTGAAGACTAACTGACCGACCACTTTGACCAATTAACATTTAGAATAATTGTCACAAACATAAACAAATCATATTGTCTTTATAACAGTAAATATAACTTACCTATCTGTAAGACAATTAAGTGTTGCTATTCAAGGGTCGTTTTCAAAATATGTAATCAACAGTTAAAGTCTAAGAAATTGAGTTTAAACCAGATTAAACAAATGTCACTCAACCAAAATCGCAATCAAGATTAACGATCATCTCTCAAAGGTAATTAGTCAAAAGAGATACTCTTTATCTGATATAATGGTTTTTCACTTGAAGCAACAACATTCATAGTCTCCCCTTAGTGGGTCACTATTATTATGCACGGATTAGATTAAGAGATTAGTCCATACTTTCATGAGAGATTAACTTTTTTGGTTATGGAAAAAAGTTGAGTCAGAAAAAATGAAAGAATAAATTCTTGGGTGATGGGCAGATTTTGATATACCCCTTTTTCGATTACTTATGAGTCCGTTTATTCATTTAATTTAGTGGAGTTGGGGCCAACTGTCGATAGACGATTTAGCTCATAGATAATTTTAACTTCATGAGATGAATTAGCTTTCGATGTAATATAATTTGTTATGCAGTCTGTGATAGATATTGTCGCACCAATATCGTGTAATTCATTATGATCATTGAAACGAATACCAAAAGAAACCTTTGAATGTACTCTAAGTCCACAATATGTACCATCTTCCGGAGTAAATGATTAGATTGGTGCAGAAAAAGGCTCATTACCATTTCAACAAGAGATTCGAATGGATAACAGATCTATTGATTGTAATTTAATTATGGTTTTAATGGTTAAACATTTGATTCTTTGTCACAATTGTATAATTTTTCATTGAATCATCTACTTTTACTTTCAATGTTTACCTTTTGATGGACATTTGTGAATCCTCGCTGGAGCACTTCTGAGGAATAAATGACCACATCGACCACAGAAACAAGCAAAATTTGTATGAACACTTTCCAAATGATCTATAACCGACGAGCGAATAGTATAAACTCTACCACAAAGCGGACATTTGGTCTTTCCATTTATTTCTTCACGAATAAGCCCACTGAACAATTGACTCAATTGAGCATAATGAATGTTGTAGAGTTTCCCTTGTGACATTCCCTTGAGAACTCGTTTAGCAGTTTCCTTAGGTATTTTCGGTACTAATAATTGCTCGAAATCGGACTCACCCCAAGGCTCTTTATGTTTCACATGACTGAAAACGCAAGGATCTGGATTGAGTTTTGTTAAGAATTGAAGTCGCTTATCAAGGTGATCTTTGGAAGAGAAACAAATATTTACAGGAAAATTTTGTTCTTGTATTCGTCCATTTTCAATCAAATTTCTAGAGTACATCCAAAAGTCTTCACAATGATTAACTCTGAATTGAATGCATTTCTTGAATGTTCTAATGATTTCGTCAATGGGTTTTATTTCATTCTGGTCATTCTCCAAGTTTGAATATCTTTTAACCTTTTTGTACATTTGACTTTCATTTTCACTTTCACTTTCATCTGTAGATGATTGATGATCAGTCTTATCGTATCTCTTGATTGACTCCAAATAAGAATAAACTTTTGATTTCCATTTACGTTTTATTGTTGACTGCGTTGACTCGAGACGATCTTCGACCAATTTCAATGATCGTCTAAGAAATTTGATGGACTCTCGATTTAGAGACAATTTAATACGAAAAGAATTATTCGTATCAATAGCAACCAAGGTGGATTCTACCAATGAATTAACCACTTCATGACCCTCGACATCAACCTGAGGTATTTCATTGTCAGGATCAGTTTCTGCTTCAATCCAATCACTTGGACTCATCTTAATTTTTGCATAACAATGATCACCAAAGGCCGTTAATTGACGAGGGTGGGTCGATGAGTTTCTCTGGTCAAGACAAGACAAGCTTGATTCACTTAATTCATCACTTCCACAATGATTAGCACTTGCGACTTTAAGATAATTTGTTAATTCCATGATAATGATCAAAGTTACAAATGAGATGGTCAACAATTAATACTCAATAAACTACCAAATTAAAAAACATTTAAAACGAGAAAACTTCACAAATGAACTGCAAAAGTAATTTACCAATTGTTTCCTTCATACAACTGTGAGTGTTTCTTATCAACACATGTATCAACTGTAATTTGGGTAAAATCATCACCATTTTGCTAATCAAAATCTACTCGGTTTAAAACAAGAAACAAATCAATTAAAATGCTATTAAATCAATACTAGTAAAGACAAACTGACGGATCACTTTGACCAATTATGATAATTGTCTCGCAGTGTAAATAAATTGTATTGTCTTTGATGCCGTGAATAACAAACAACTAATTGTAAGACAATTAAGTGTTGATATTCAAAGGTCGTTTTTTTTATAAAAGATTAACCCTCTTGGTTATGTTGACGGCACTGAAAATGGCTCGATTTCCTATGATTTCGTTTATTCATTTTATTTAGTACAATTGGGGGTTACTGTCGATAGACGATTTAGCTCATAGAAAATTTTAACTTCTTCATGAGAAACTGTGTTCACCATAAAAATGGTCAAGGTTCAAGGTCAAGCGAAAAAAATAAATGTCAAAATTTTTCTCCAAAAAAGATCTGGTTCCTCATGTACTGAATAGAGATTGATTGGATTTGAGATCGCAAAGAGAGATGATGGAAATCGGTCTTAGGATCGATGTCGTTGAAGCTTAATCATTTTATTTAAAATACAAATTATTTGATTTGTAACAAATTATTCGTTCGCTAGTTAATCATTGTAAAAGTTGCTCTGATTTGTCCAAAGAGGAGTTTCAATGGATTTTGTAGACCAGAGAATCGTAAGTTCCAGGCCGCTTTCATCTCTTTGTGCATTCGTGAGTTAAACATAAAGCTCCTCGTAAATAGATTTGTCCACATGAACCACAAAAACAAGCGAAATTCGTGTGAATACTTTCAATGTGCTTAATGGTATTAAGCTTGTTATTGTACTTATTATCGCAAAGTGGGCATTTGGCACGTTCATCTTTATCCATCCTGATTCGATGTAAGAAAATTTTACTCAGCTTCTTGTAATCAATGTTGTAGAGTTTTCCTTGTGACATCCCTTTGAGAACTCGTCTTATTATTGTATCGGATAGAACAGGGGTCAATAATGGTTCGAGATCCGATTCAGGCCAAGGTACTTCATTTTGTACATGAGCAAAGACTCGAGGATTTGGATTGACTTGTCTTGAAGCCTTTGAGCGTTGCTTAATATTTAAAATATTTTTCCTAGAAATATAACTCGGTAATGACGATTTCACTATGCGTCCATTTTTGATTATGATTTCGTTATAGAACCAGAAATCGTCGAGCCATTTTAGAATGAAAGGAAATCGTTTCGCGTATTTTGGATCGTATTGGTCATAAAGATCTTCCTTGTAAACATCTTTTTCGAGCTTCTTACATTTTCGCGTGTTTTTCTCTTTCAATTGGCTTTCACTATCGGTTTCATCAGCGGATACTCGATAGTCACGACCAAGTTTCTCGTTTGATCGAGTAAAAGGCTCAGATTTCGCTTTTCGGTCATTGCTTTTTCTAGTCTTGGAAGACTTAAGATGACGTTCAACAACTTTCAAAGATCTTCTCAATAGCTTGACTGATTTTCGATTGCAGTTTAATTTCAATTGAATCGAACTACTTATAATCGAAGCAGCTTCAATCGATTTAACCAAATACTTTTCATTTTCATGACTATCGACATCAATCTGAGGTAAATCATTATCAGGACCAGTTTCCAAGATGCTTAAATCATCCAGCCTAATATTGTGATCGTCATAACAATGTCCATCAATGGCCACTAATTTTCCAGGATCAACCAACACATTTCTTTGGTCACTTTCTTTATTATTTTCACAATGATTATCACTCTCATCATCAGTAAGATAATTTCTTGATTCCATGACAATGAACAAAGTTTTTAAGAAGATAATCAACAAGTAGCAATCAACGAAATACCAAAAGTACCAGAAAAACTTTCACAATTAAAGAACTTGAGCTTAAAATGAACAAAAGAAGTAATTTATTGATTGTTTTCTTGAGTACATGTAAATGTTAATATTTGTAATCATAGTTAACAAATCAACTGACGTAATAATTGCTAATTAAAATATACGCTGTTTTAATAAGCCCATTTGTAGTGAACTTTAATCAGTATGAAAACAATTAAAGCTAAATCGACGCTTCCCTTTGAACATTAGCATAAGTTATTATTTTGTTGATTAAACATCTGATTGTGATGAGGCCAATCACAAGGAGGACTATTGATAGTTGGGTATCTGGTAATTATTGTAGAAATTGATCTGAATAAGTAATCAGAATATTTTGAGTTATTATTAATAAATGATTTAGTCGATTCGAAATGAAGAGAGTTTCGTAAATGTTTAGAACAGGGAGAAAAGGGTTCGACCATCGAATTATTTTCTTCTATTAATATTTGAACATTCGTGTTTGATACATTGAGCTTTCTGTAAATAAACTTGACCACACAGACCACAGAAACAGGCGAAATTCGAGTGAACTATTTCGATGTGTCTTAGGACATTATCCTTTCCAATATATTCATTTTCACAAAGTGGACATTTAGCACATCGATGTTTATCCGCCATGATTCGGGGCATGAAGATTAGACTTAATTGCCTGTAATCAATGTTGTAGAGTTTTCCTTGTGACATTCCTTTGAGAACCCGTCTTTGTACTGTTTCAGATAGGAACGGGACCAACAATGGTTCGAAGTCCGATTCAGGCCAGGATACTTCATTTTGTACATGGGCAAAGATTCGAGGATCTGGATCGAGTTGACTCAAGGCATTTACACGACGTCTTATCCGGGATACATCATTCTTACTAAGATAACTCGGTAATGGCGATTTCACTAACTGTCCATTTTGGATAAAGATTCCGTTGTAGAACCAGAAATTTTTAGACCATTTAAGAATAACTGGAAATCGTTTCGCGAATTTCGGATCGTACTGATCATAAAGATCTTTCCTGTAAACCTTTTTTTCGACCTTCTTTCGCTTTCGCCTATTTTTCTCTATTAATTCGGTTTCACTTTCGGTTTCATCAGCGGATACTCGATAGTCTTGATCAATTTCATCGTCAGCAAACTCTTCGATTGATTCAGTGAAATGTTTAGATTTGGCTTTTCGGTCATAACTTTTTCTGATCTTGGTGGTCTTTAGTTGCCGTTCGACCTCTTTCAAAGATCTTCTTAATAACTTGATTGATTCTCGATTCGCGTTCAATTTCAACAGAGCCATATTACTTATAATCGAAGCAGCTTCAATCGATTTAACCAAATACTTTTCACTTTCATGACTATTGACATCAATCTGAGGTAAATCATCATCAGGATGAGTTTCCATTTTAATCAAATCACTTAAATCAGTTTTCTCATCGACAGAACAATCATCACCAAAGGTCATTAATTTACCAGAATGAGCCAATGAGTTTCCTTGGTCAAGACAAAACATTCTTGATTCACTAAATTCACCACTTCCACAATAGTAGTGTATAACCGTACGCTTCTGGAGCAAATTGAATAAATTAACGTAGGCCTCTGAATTATGTTTACTCATTTGGTGTTAATTAGTTTTTTGTTAAATTTTCTCGCTCCTCAATGTAAATATATAGTTTACATTAGATAAGCTGAATTAACTTAATTTACACAAAAAAATTATTTATTTGAATAATTTATTTCAATTTGTATTACCGATGCTAAGATGGGAAAAACGTATAACAAACAATACGAAAAGAAGAAATTAATGAATAATCTAATATTTGATCAATTGTAATGATCTTATGTTATCAGCTTTTGCTGAATTTTACTATATAAATGATAGAAAGACTAATCGGAAAATTATTAGTTAACTATCAACATCTTTGGTATTATAAATTGTAAGTTAAATTTTATAGTCTATCTCTCTCTCTCTCTCTCTGTGTGTGACTTTTGCTGCGAAAACCGATTCATTGTCTGTTTCAAGAAAAACAAAGTATTCAGTGTGACAACTTGTACAAATCATTTGGTTCTGTTGGTTCTCACATTTCATCAATTATTTTACTCTCTCAATTTTCCATGGAACAATAATTACGATTCTTTACTCGATTTTCAGTAATAAGAACCCTTATCATGGTTGGAATCCGAGTCTATTCTGGTTCAATTATGTTACGAATAGTGTCACCTCAATACTTTTCTCGTTTACATTGACCACTTTTCTTACACATCCAATCATCGGTGTATTAGTTGTTATTGTTGGTAGAGCTGGTTTAGCGTATTTACCTTTTGCTGCAGGAACAGCTACAAGAAATATTCTCTGGATTTCACCGAAAGTTTGGGCTAGTTTACTGCCCAGTGGCCAATTACACTACTCGATTTACGATATTTTCTATTTTGGTGAAATAAAGGATAAAGTCAAATGGTCACAAATATTTTCATCAATTGAAATTGACCAGTCCTTAAAACTTTGGTCCATCTATTTGGTGGGAATCGTTTCATGGCTCCTTTACATAGTGCTGGTTTGGTACCTCGATGCGATATGGCCTTGGCAAAGTGGAACACCTAAACCTTGGCATTTTCCGATTTCTCGATTCTTTTCGTCTGCAACAATGGATATCGAAATTGATTCGATAGCAACAACGAACAATGAAAATGATGAAACATCGAGTTCAAATAAAAATAATGAATGTGAACCAGAAAATTTAGGCTCAAGTATTCGATGTAACAACTTGTACAAATCATTTGGTTCTATGGGTTCGAAAAAGTTTGCCGTCAATGGAGTGAATGTTAATATTCTCAAAGGTCAAATAACTGTTCTTTTGGGTCACAATGGTGCTGGTAAAACGACTACAATGTCCATGATCACTGGAATATTAAAACCTTCGTCTGGTAACATTTATGTCAATGGAATTGATGTTCATAAGAATACGGTAGCTGCTCGTCGATGTCTCGCTTTGTGTCCTCAACATGATTTACTATTCGAAGATCTCACTGTTCGAGAGAATCTAGAGCTTTGCGGTTGACTTCGAGGATTAAGTCAACAGGTCAAGAAAGAACTAATTCCATTGAATATGAAACGAGTAAATTTAACAGAAAAATCAAACACATTAGCCAGTAATTTATCGGGAGGAATGAGACGTCGTCTTCAATTGGCCTTGGCTCTTTCGACGGCATCAGAGATATTGATTCTCGACGAGCCAACGTCAGGTTTAGATCCAGAGTCTCGAAGACAATTGTGGGATCTTTTGTTAGAACTGAGAAAAGACTTGACAATATTATTGACAACTCATTTTATGGAAGAAGCTGATGCATTGGGAGATCGTATAATTATCATGGGCTCAGGAAAAGTAAAATGTTCAGGATCATCGATGTTTCTTAAGAAACAATTCGGAGCCGGATATTCAGTTCGACTGGCTAAAGATACATGGTCATATGAACCTAGTAGATTATCAAATCAAATAAGGTTCATTTTTTCTGATGCACAAATAACCAACGAAACCAGTGAAGAAGTGATCTACCAGCTGAATAATAGATCCGATCAAGGGTCGACTTCAGATTTAGCAGAACTTTGTGATACTCTTGATAAGAATCAAACCTCATTAGCTATCACTTCCTATGGAATATCGGTAACAACACTAGAAGATGTTTTTCTCAAGGTCGCTGAAGATGAAAGTAATCAAACAATAATAACAATGGAAGACAAATTGTTTGAAGTGAATAAAATTCTTGATTATCAAAGATTAACTAGATCCAGATTGTTCGCTCAACGTATCAGAGGATTAGTCATGAAAAGATTTCATTACACAAGAAGATACTTTAAGACAATTGGATTCAACATAATTCTTCCAGCCTCATTATCGTTGCAGTTGATGGTTGATGCTTATACAAATACTTTGCTAAGGGTGAAAAGTTCGGGAATCCAGAGAGAGAGAGAGAAATTCATCTTAACCTTATTAAAACTAGTTAAGTATAGTTAATAATTTTTTCTTCTTTCTCGTTTATTCTCTCTCTTACTAGAAATATGTCAGAAAGCAATGTTTCAAATCGTGGCTATGGTTCTTGTGATGCACGAGTCTGGTACCCGATCGAGGTTACAGCGTTTGGTATCGATCCAATTACTCAAAAAAGAGAGTACAATTGGGTATGGTCAAAAGGTGGCGGTGATGAGGAATCAATTCATCTTGAAGAAGACCTTTCTCCCGATTTGGAACGACCCATCGCGGAAATCAGGGAAAACAACAAAAAAATGGTTGCAGAACTAGAAGATCTAAGGAAAGACATAGAAGAAAATCCTTATTTTTATGTCTGTGAATACTGTCATAAGAACCTGACTTCTCTGAAAAGTCTAGAAGGTCACATTTTTCCGAAGAGATCATACTCAGATCAAACGAGATTTGAGATATCTTGTCCTGTTCGACGAGACGAAGAGGTTTCAACAAAATACGTTCCAAAAAAACATGGAAAACCAGATAGAACTCCTTGGTTTCATATAACTCAACGGCAAAATGGGCTTTTAATAGAACCAGAAGAGTTTACACCTCAATTGGAAGAGGCAGTGGCACAGCATGTAGCAAAAGTAAAAAAAGATTACTACAAGAAGAATCAGCTCTAATAAGATTTCACTTAGAAAAATGAAAACAAAAGCTGAAATGGGAAATTTTAGAAGCTTTATTGTGTCAATATGGGCAGAAAAAAGCTCAATAATACATTTGATTATTAAAAAAGGGATAACAAACAATTGAATATCATCAGTTCTTAGTTTCTTTCATCATCAATCTTGTTGCTTTACTCTCGGTCACAATGAGACCGCAGTTACAAGTGGTAGGAGTAATATCACGAACAAAATCATTAATCTTACATATTTCATCTTTCAAAGTTAATTCCATTGACATTCCGATTTTGCAAAGATTAACATTTCTCAATTTCATTTCTGTCAAAGTCTTAGTAGCATCATCACCAGCGCATAGTACCATTCCATCAATATTATATCCATAGAGAAAAAGCTTCAAATCGTCTTCATCGGAATATTCACAGAAATTGAAGAATTCATAGTCATAGTAACAAGCTTTTCTGGCTGTCACATTAACACTAAACAAACCGGCAACATTAGTAAACATGATTTAAGAAAAAAGTCTGGGTTTTTGAGTAAGTTAAAATATTTCAATCACCTTCACATATAAATTAAATTACTTAAGACTTGAGACAGCAGTTAACAATCAACTATTGAACATGAAAGATTACAGTTTTCCAAAAATCACAAATATCGTAACTTGTTGGGACCTGAGACGAAAAATTGTCATCAAAGGTGCTTCAGGGAAAACGCAAAAAAGATTCAACGCCGATGTTATCAGGGACAATGGAAAATGTTTACTTGTTTTTGAATCAGGAAAGGTTAATGCAACTGGATTCAAAACCATCTTGTCTGCTGGTGCGTTTATTCAAAAGCATTTCCCTTTGGATAAAATTAAGTTTGTAAAAGTTTGTAACTATGTTGCTTCAGGGAAGATTAAAGCTAGAATTGATGTTAGCTCGTTTGTTGAAGCAAATGAAAATGTCATATATGAGCCAGAGCTTTTCAATGGAATCTACTGGAGAGATGAAAGAGTTTGTGTGATTTACTTCCCAAAAGGCTCTTACATTATCACAGGCGGTAAATCAAGAAGGCATTTACGACAAATATTCGACAAATTTTTCTCCTGCATCTATCGTTATAAAAAGCTCGATCATTTCGAATTAAAAACCAGTTAAAAGTTAAATCATCAAGTGTAAACACTAAAATTAATTTACTAAAATAATAAAATGCCTGTACTAACATGGAGCTCATTGAAACCTATTGTTGTCAGCCCTGAATTGAAAATAACTGTTTCTTATGGAGTGGACGAATTCGGTGAAGTGACTTGTACCCGATCTGATATTCGCTACTATTATAACAATCATCCAACTCGTAATGGTCTCAACTTGAAGCGATGGGAACTCATACATCTTGGTCGTTATATTTCGATGATGGTTAAAGGTACTGCAGAAGAGATCGAAAACATCGACGAGCTTTCGATAGCTAAGCTTAATTCTGGTGACCTACAATGTGAAAAACGTTTCTCCAAGTTGAAAATTGAGTCTAAATACTTCAACACTCTTGACAGACTCATTCCTGGTATCGCCCTGTTGCATGAATTTGTTAAGGATCCTCTTGGTAAATATCCAGCAACATTATTACAACAATCATGCTTATTCTCAACCTTGATCAACGATAAAGATCGAAATCCTCTAATTAAATGGGAGGAAGAAGAGTGTCTTGAACCCGGTAAACTCACGGAAGAGCAAAGGAGTATCATCAATGGGAAAAAGGAAGAGCTTTACCAGCTTTATTCAACTTCCTTCGGAAAGGTGGGAGGCTTGTCAACTAACTTGGCTTCCTTTGGGGATTTAATTTCCGGAGGTATCGATAAAGATCTAGCTGATTTTTTCAAAGAGAATCAGATTATGTTTCGTTCTCTTGTTATTGTAATCAAAATGATTTTTGAATAATTTATTCAGTTTAACATTTCATTACATACAATAAACTTCAACCTTAATTGAAATATCTTTTCTTTGTGATTGTTCTTTTAAAAACAAAAAAATGATTTCAAATATCTGTGCCTTTTTTGATGTTCAGGGGTTTCATGTTAATGACACTTTTCTACCTCGTGAGATGGCTTTACTGAGTGAAAGTTCAACAGTTCATTTCTCTATTAATCATCGTCGAAGGCTATCAGATATACCAAGAGAATTTACGTGGTCAGTTAACAACGAGACTCAGGTTATCCATGGACTATCATTTGAATGTGATGGAAATGGTTTAGGCTACAATCAAGCAACCAGCCTTCTATCAACATTTTATGGTAGTTCTACAAATCGAGATAAGTTTTTGATGGGTTACACATCGCCAGATGCTGAAGGTGTACTTCGAAGAATGGCCATACCAAGGATAAAGGTGAATATGGGAGCTGAGGCATTTGGTAAGCCTTGTCAGCTTCACCCACCAGAGTCTCGTTATTCGTGTGCATTGAAAACTGTGGTCCAACTTTGGCGAGAATATCCGATGAACTGATCAAAATCTATGAAGTCAACCAACTAAGTTTGTATCTAAATAAATAAATAAACTGCATCACAAAAAATTTTCTTTGTCAAAACCATTTACTTTTTAAAAAAAAAAACGGAAAAGAAAACGCGATTTTTTTGTCTAGAATCAACATTAATCTGACAAAAAAAATCCTCTATTGAGAGATAACAGTGAGATCACATTTTTCGCTTTTATTCAAATTTGCAACTTCTGACGACGTATCAATAACAATAAGATCATCTACAGTGATAAACAAGTTGATAGATGTAATTCACTGATTGTGTATAATTATTTTCAGAAGAGGAAAATTTAATAAAAAAATTGAATAAAATTCTCTAAAATTCAATTCATTAATTTTAATTTCTGAGCCCGGTTCCGCCCGGTGTGGACACTTTGCTCTAATCATCTACAGTGATAAACAAGTTGATAGATGTAATTCACTGATTGTGTATAATTGTTTTCAGAAGAGGAAAATTTAATCAAAAAATTGGGTAAAATTCTCTAAAATTCAATTCATTAATTTTAATTTCTGAGCCCGGTTCCGCCCGGTGTGGACACTTTGCTCTAATCATCTACAGTGATAAACAAGTTGATAGATGTAATTCACTGATTGTGTATAATTGTTTTCAGAAGAGGAAAATTTAATCAAAAAATTGGGTAAAATTGTCGTAAATTTAATTAATTCATTTTAATTTCTAAGCCCGGTTCCGCCCGGTGTAGACACTTTGCTCTAATCATCTACAGTGATGAACAAGTTGATAGATGTAATTCACTGATTGTGTATAATTGTTTGTGAGAAGAAAAGTTTTTTCTAAAAGCAATATGATAATTGACAAATTGATCCTCAGAAGCATAAGCAAACACAAATTTTTTATTAAAATAAAATTATTGTCATTAAAATCATTGTTTCAATAGACTTTCGCTAAGATGGATGTAAGTATGATTCTAACAATAATTTCAAAACCAATTAGTTCATTTTAGCTTTTTTTCAGATTATTGAACGTGCAATTTTCTCTAGATTAAATGATCAATACAAAAGCCTTGTGGACGAGGCTGAAGATTTGGTTCGAAAAATTCACGATCTTGGCTTTGTCCAAGTTCTGTTATATACAATTGGAGATGCCACTATTGGTGAACAGATTCAGAGTATCAACTCGAGACCGATTCCTTCGCGATTCCATCCTGCTTACTCTTTTGTTTGTGAGTTAATTGAAATTGATATTTTAATTGTACAGATTCGACATGTCATATATTGCATGGCAAACGGCTTACCTGGTAATCGTTCAATTGTTCTAAACTGAGAACCATTATTCAATATTTGTAAAAGTTTATTGGGTCAAAAAGACGATGAAGATGAAATTACATTAATATTGGATTCATTTAAGTCACAGATTTTCAATTCAATAATTCTCATATAGTCTACAAGATGGTTATACATTGTTACAATGGTATCGGATTCAAACAACGTCTTAAAATGTATCAGATGTTCACTCAGTAACTCGATATCCTCACAACAATGATTTCCTCCGAACTGACCGTCTGTTGATGTGATTCTGTATACACAAGATCTCGACACTTCTCTTCGACGTTCAATATCAATAACCATATATTTAATTCTTCTTTTTATGAGTGAGAGCTCAACATTTCTTTGAATTCGCCACAGAACAAATTTTAAATTTCTCAATATCTTTTTGTAAAATTCCATAACTTCTTTAACATATGAACGAAACTGTTTTGATTTTAATTATTGAAATAAATGAACTAAAAATTGAATTAAATTGTTTTTAATTGTTTCCATTAATTAAAACAGTTGCACTTCAATTGCGCGTGAGTGTAACTAATCATTGTGAATACAAACACGCCTAATCAAATTATGCTTATTTAGATTCATTCTGTTGTCAGCCAAATAGATAAAATTCATTCTGTATGTGAAATGGATGAACAGGTAAGTTTTTTGTTTGAAACTAATTTTTCTGAAACTAATATTTTCTTTGCCTAAATTATTCAGTTGTTCAGGTGCCGATCTTGTCCAGCCGTTTTCGATGACCTTAGTGATTTTATCAATCACTCTTGCTGCGACAACGATGAACTCAATGACTTGAATATCTACCTATCAAGTGATTTATTTCACGAGTCTTCAATAGCTCCACCACCACCAAAACCACTATCACCGTCATCATGTCACTCTCTACCAGTACAACCACCATCACCACCATTAGCATCAACATCAACATTTATATCAAGTAATCAACTGGAAACTTCAGAGGATTTAGAATCGATCAACGAGTTAATTGGCAAGTGTAACAACTGTAATTTATTTATTGAGAGCTTCATTGATCTTTTGAATCATAACTGTGATCTGACTGGCCCATCAACTAGTGAGTCGATAGAAGATGTCACTATGAACATTGACAATTTATGTTGTCCGAAATGTAATATGATTTTCTCATCTATTGAGACACAACAAAATCATATAAAAGTTTGTGGGTTAACAATATCACCTGTTGTGCAAACTAATGTTGTTGAACTTTTCAACTTCTTGCTCACCAAAAAAGCATTTCGATCAAAGTATCGTCTATATTCAAGACAGTTTGACAAATGTTACACTCTAGAGGATCTTCAAAAAACTACTCAACCTGATATCAAGCTGTTAATCAAAGAGGTATCAGAAGAACTTGGACCGTTGAAAATATCCTTTTCTATCAACATTGTATTTGAAAAACTTGGAACAAAGGAGTTTATTACATCATATATTCATTCAATCTTCAAAATCTACCTAAGTGAATGTGATGACTTGACTCAACTGCTATCGGATAGCTTTGCAGAAATTCAAAGTATAATTGACCATTACACAGAAAGAGGTAGCGGATTCATCATTGTTTGTATCTCTGCTCTTGATGTATATATCGCTTCATATCAACCTCACCATGGTGGATGTAAGCTACAAAAATTGCCACCACAACTGACAACCAAAAAATGTTTTGTCACCCTCAACTGTAATACAAGTTGCTTTATGTATGCAATTCTTGCGAGTATATATGGAGTATCTGACAAGCACAGGACCAGTAAGTATCGTAAATACTTACGAGCTCATAACTTCTCCAAGTGGATAGGTGATGTTTCATTAGATCAAATAAATGGTTTCGAAAAAGCGAATGAAATATCCGTTAGTGTTTTTTCATATAACTTGGAAGGAAAATACATCATCCCTCTACGAATTACAACAGAAAAGAAGAAAAACCATGTTAAATTACTTTTATATGCTGACCATTATTATCCCATCTCAAACTTACGCAGAGCCTTGAATAGTAGGACAAACCGAAGGAGATATCATTGTGAAAGGTGTTTACATGGATATGATAGAGCAGAAAAACTTGCCACTCATTTAGTTGACTGTGAAAATAGGGCCGTTCAAAGAGTGAAAATACCATTGTTAACACGAGAGGATCCACTGGTCAACATCGTCAAGCGGAACCTTAAGAAGGAGAGTAAACATCCATTCGTAATTTACGCTGATTTTGAAAGTGTCTGTATACCAACCGGTGATTCCAGAAAAGTGTCAAGACATGAACCAAGTAGTTATGGTTATATAGTTGTGGACTGGAATAAGAAAGTAATCAAAAGTGATTTTAAACATGGAAAAGATATCATAAACGATTTCTTGTCCAGCATTAAACATACTGAAAAATGGTTGACTGTTTACTTGAAAGAAAATGCTAGTAAACCTCTGGCGATTACAGATGATATTGAGGAAAGTTTTTCCCTCGCATCTAATTGTTGGATTTGTGATGGCTCACTAGGAGGAGACAAAGTTAGAGATCATGATCATTTCACTGGTAAATACCGCGGAGCTGCTCATAATATATGTAACATCAACTATGCAATTCCAAAAAGGATACCAATTTTCTTTCATAATCTAAAAAATTATGACAGTCATTTACTAATCACTGGTATGGACAGTAAAACTTTCTCAACTAATATTACGATCATCCCACAGACTATGGAAAAGTATATTGGATGGTTTGTGGGAAATTTAGCTTTTCTCGACTCTTATGCTTTTTTACCTGCTAGTCTAGATACTCTATCAAAAGACTTAAGTTTGTACGAGAAAGAAACATTTTTACGTCAAGAGTGGAAAAGTTGCGATCTTACAGACCTTCTTGATAAAGCTGCTCTTCCATATGAATATCTAGACTCTTTTGATAGGTATAATGAGCAACAACTACCAAAGATTGAGTCGTTCTATTCATCTCTTACGGATAAAAATATTTCGATTGAAATGTATGAAAGATTACAACGAGTTTGGAAGCAGTTTAATTGTGAAAATCTTGCAGATTTAATCGATATTTATCTACGTTTGGATGTATATCTACTAGCTGCCGTTTTTGAAAACTTTAGAGAAACAAGTTTGAATGACTTTGGTATCGATCCTCCACACTACATGTCAGTACCTGGCTTATCCTTTGCATCAGCCATCAAGATGTTAAAAGTATCGCTCAAGATATTCACAGATCTTGAAATGTATATGATGATCGAAAATGGGATAAGAGGTGGATTCACTACGGTTGCAAAGAGACATGTGAAAGCTAACAATCGTTTACTCAAATCGTATGATGGTGGTGAACAGACTTGGCTACTTTATCTAGATGTTAATAATTTATATGGCAAAGCTATGTGTGATGTCTTACCGATCGGTAATTATAAATGGACCAAGCCTTGTGATCTAGAGTTTTTTTTGACAATTCATGATGAAGCTGAAACTGGTTATATTCTCGAAGTTGATCTTCTCTATCCTGAGACACTTCATAACTTACACAATGATTTCCCTCTCGCTCCACATAAGCTTGTGATTTCAGATGAGATGTTAAGTCCTACGGCTAAAAAAATTCTAAAACAACTGGAACAACGTTCTACCAAAACCGAAAAATTAGTGGCTACTTTTCTACCCAGAACTCGTTATGTTATCCACTATCGGACTTTGAAGTATTATATTGCGAAAGGAATGCAAGTGACAACAATACATCGAGCCATTTCTTTCAATCAAAAACGATGGCTATCTCCATACGTCAATCTCTGCACTGAAAAGCGGAAAAGAGCTTCCTCCCCTTTTGTTTCATCTCTTTACAAGCTCTTTGTCAACAGCAATTATGGTAAATTGATGGAAGATAAAAGAAAAAGAGTTAAAGTTGACTTGGTTACATCGGATGCAATGGCAGCAAGAAGAGCCAGGAAGCATTTGTGTAAAAACATGAGAATACTTGCGGAAGATAAAGTGCTGTTTCAAATGTTACCGGATACTGTTGTGCTTGACAAACCCATCATTGTTGGTTTTACCGTACTAGAGTTGGCCAAGTTACATGTTTACCAGCTTTACTATGACAGATTCAAATCTTTTTACGGCGATAAAATCTGTTTGGTTTACTCTGATACCGATTCACTTTTAGTTGAGATAAAGACTGAAGATTTAGTTTCCGATATGAAGTTTTTTTCGGACATAATGGACTTCAGTGATCTTCCCATTGATCATTGTTTGTATAGTGCTGTCAATAAGAAAAAAATTGGGTGTCTTAAAGATGAAATGAGCGGTCAAGTCATCGAAGAAGTTGTTGCTTTGCGACCTAAATTGTATGCAATCAAAACAGAGAATGAGGTAAAAAAGAGAGCTAAAGGAGTTCAAGGTGTTGTTGTTAAGAATCAGTTAACATTCGATGATTATAAAAATACTCTTTTCGATGTTAAAACTGTTCGAAAGTCAACTCGTAGACTTGGCTCTGAAAATCACATTATACATTTATATGTTGATGAAAAAATCGCTCTTTCCCCTTTTGAAGATAAAAGATACCTTACTGACTCTGTAAACTCTCTTGCTTATGGTCATTATTCAATAAATCAATAACTTAATCAATTAATGTGATTTCTTTTGTCTCGCGGTATGAAAGATATCATTCAACTCGCGATTTAGTTGAAATCCTTGTTAACGCGAAATCCCGCTGATCGTTGGTTTGCTTGATATCGCGAGATCAAGCCCCGCCCGCTCAGTTGAAGACGCAGAGAATCTTTAGTTTTCTTTTGGTCTTTTAATTAATCAAAGTTAATAGTTTTCTATAAATCAAATGGTCGTTTTTTAAATGGTGACAGATTTTGAGTAAATGGAAAAATGATTTTTTGTTAGTCATGAGAACAAATAGTAGACAATAATAGCCGCAAGAAGTTGAATCATCTCCTTGGTATTTTGATTTGGATATTTCATAAAACGAACAGTTTCTTTCTATGAATGACAATATTTCTGGTGGCGGTTCTCGTCCAAAAGAGTCGAAATATATAGCTAAACGATTCCTACTTATGTAGACAGAAACCCAATGTGAACCAGGTTGGTGTGAAGGATCTAAATTTATAATGTAATTGATTGGTAGCTCTGAGACTAGTATTGGTAAATTGTCAATTGAATAAACACCACCAAAAGACTTCGTACCTGACAATACAAATTCTAGATCACTTGATGTTAACATGTTTTTTAACCTCTTTTTAGTAGTCAATTACAACGGTTCTCTCTCTATCAACTGTTACCAAATTATCAAATTGTCCAAGTACAATAAGTTTAACTTGTTTTTTCAATGTCTTGGAAAATCGAATCTCACATCTTATAGACCCTCTTCTCAGTAGGTTAAGTGTACCAGTCTCACCACCCAATGTACCATCACTACTTAGATCAAAAGCGAATAGACAATACATTGACTTGTACTTGTCATAATCAATGTCACATTGAGGGATTCCATCGTCTTGACCAGTGTAGCGATATAGATTTACAAATTCTCTCATATATAAATTTCCTTCAAAGTCAGGTTGATAGGGTACTGTAGGTACATGGTTACCATCAACATTTAAGGCTAAATGAGAAACTGAAAAGTTATCAAAGTTAAATGGGTTTGATTGTCTATCACCAGAGAACGATTCCTCATTTACAAAGCCTAAAATAATTCGTTTGGGTAGAAATCCATTGAATAAATTTTCAACTGTTATCATGTTAACATCCTTCGTTATAGTAAAGTTTTTCATTTCATTTCTTATTATAAAATATTTGGCCGGAACTTTGTTAAGGGTAGATATGAGTGCAGATTGTGCATCTGGAAATAGTTTAACTCTTCTAATGAATAGAGATAAACTTGTTATTTTTGTTTTATACGTTTCTGTGTCAGCTTCAGTTGTTGTCCAAACGGGAAAGGTCAACGGGCTACGAGTCAACTTGAAAACCATAGGCATGCCATTGACCATCAGTCGGTCTTGTTGACAAACGGGTAAATGTAAACGAAAAAATAAATCATAGGTTCGGCTTGCCACTACAAATTGAGGTTCTTTTTTGGATAAATTACCCATATCCACTGGGTTGGGAAACTTATAAAGAAGGTCTTCAAGGAAGGCTTGATAGTGATACATGTTTGAAGCTTGACAGAGATTAACACCATTGAGAAACAGATCTACTTGTTCAAATAGTGCATTTCCAAAATTGCGAGCCATCATTGCCTTGACTGCATTTTTCGTTGGCTCTCCGGTTGCGTCAATTATTTGTACTTTCATGTGTATCATAGTTGCTGCCATGTCTGTCATGTCTTCTGAGGGTGGAACTGCAATTTCATAGACAAGGCTACTTTCTAAACTTGCTGATGGTCTATATTCAGTTTCATAGCTTGACTCTATTGTTACTTGTGTTGAAGGGACAGTAAATAGAGTGAGTTCACTTTTTCCCGCAGGGTTAGACTCCACATGTAGATATTCCATTATCCAAATATATCCTTCTTGGTCTTTCTCTTCCTACTTTTAGATATTTTTCGTCGTTTTGATCCTTTCTTATTCTTCCTTCGCTTCTGGACTCCTGACACTGAAGATCTTTTTCTCTTTCTATTTCTAGCAGCATTAGATTTCATCAATTTCTTATATGCCTGTAATCGCAAGTTACCTGAACCTTTTTGGTCTAGTAGCTGGTTAACTTTAGCAATAGACTGTGTTGTTGCACTTCTAAGCCCTTCTTTAGCTCTCTCTTTTAATGCTTCTTTAAACCTCTTTTTCTCTAATACATCAGCGCCGATATTGACACCAGTACGTAAAAATTGTTTTCCTAAAAATTTCAATATTGGGATTCCAAATCTACCAATTAAGCTACCTATTCCATATCCACGCTGATATGGTGAACCTTTGAAGACGCTTATATCACCGAAACCACTTCCTACTTGAGAAGCAAAAAATCTTTGAAGATCTGACTCACAAGAACAATGAACTTTTCTAGACATTTTCACTGTTTTCAAATTTTATTGTTTGTAATTTCTTATACAACTTTCTTTAAATGTAAGCCAATACAAACTCGACCTGAATTAAATTTAACTTGTTCTCCAGTCTCATCGCTCAAGATGAAGTTAATATCTTCCATTCGATTTGATCTAAGTGGGTAATAGTGAGGCTTGATGAATCTCTCGTGAATAATTTGCTTTTTTTCGTCACCTCTTAGTGGCAGAACACGAAGGACTCTCGCTGACTTATCTCCAACAAAGTGTTCAGACACGATGTCTGAGTTCACAAACATCAAGTGAGGCTGGAAATCTAAAGCAGCAGGCTTCTCTGCAGTCATACTAACCTCATTTGTCGTTAGTAAGCGACCGATTTTATCAAGATATCCATAAGCATCGAAACCAAGAGCAGAAAGAAAGGCTGAATCATTAAAATGAGGTACGATTATTCTATTATCTAAGTAACCTCTGTGTACGGTTATTTTCCCGCCAACCAGTTCAATCAAAGGAACTTTATCATCTTCGCTTATAGTCAATTCATTCTCGACCAATGGTTTGAATTTGTATAATTGTCTTCTTACTCTTTCAATATCATCAAGTAACTGATTTTTCTCTGTTCTTTGCTTGTTCAAATCTTCATTCAATCTAACAACTTCAATAGCTAAAGAATCATGCTTTTCTTTCAGTTCTTTGAGTGTCACCTCAACTGCAGTTTTTTCCGTTGAAATAGCTTCAACTTTTTGATTTAGATTGTTAAGCTCATGCTTAGGTACAAGTGTAGCTATTTTCTCTCTTAGTTCAATTTCACTTTTCTGTAAATTTTCAACTTTTTCCCTCGACTCTTTCAGATATTGTTGATATACTTTCTCTCTCTCTTCCATTAAGTTAGCTTTGTCTGCATAAGTCTTAGACTCGTTTTCCATTTGCTCATTTAATTTTCGTAGCTCTGCCTCTTGTTCCTGCTTACAACGTTCCAACTGCAATTCAAACTCAACCGTTTTCTCAGATTTTGTTGCTTTAGATTCATTTAAATCTTTCTCGATCTTTTTTATCTTTATGTCAGTTTCCTCTTTCATGTTATCATATTGCCCTTGCAAGCTAAGAAGATTGGCATCACGCTGACTTTTGAGGATCTCCAGTTCTGCTCTTAGTTTCGAGGCTTCAACTCGTTTGGCAATGGCATCAGTTTCCCATCCTTTTGTTCTGGCCAATGCATCTTTTAATTCTTCTTTCAGATGAAAAATCTCAGCATCTTTGTTAGGCTGCTTTTCAAGTTTTGTTATCTTTTCGGTCTGATCAGCTAACATTTTTTGAGCTGTCTTCTTGTACTTATCGAAATCATCTTCGATTACAATTCTTGCAGCTAAATTTGCATTTATAACTTCTACTTGCTTGTTTCTCTCGGAAACTTCAGTAGAGAGTGAGGCAATTTCTTTCTCCTTTTCTGTCACTTTTCCACTCATTTCATCAATTTTTTTCAGAAGCTCTTCAAAGGCTGCTAAACCTTTGCTCTTAATCTCTTTTAAATGAGATAATTTTTCTTCAGTCGTAAAATTTGAGCTTTCCGTTTTCAAAAGGTTATTGATTGATTCCATTATATCTCTTTTAGGCCGTTTCGATTTAGTAGTGTTATAATGTTTCCTCATGGCTATATTAATTTTATCGATTATCGCTCTTTTATCATCATTTGCTTCCAACATTACGTCTAATTTAACTTTTTGTCCGAATCCATCGATCAGCAAATGGACAGATAGGCTTCGAGCCGTTGCGCTTATGTCTGATGGATAGAAAATCTCCTGAAGACCAACTAACCACTCACCACTTAGGTCAATTGGTCGAGCTAAACGATTAGAAAATTTTGTCAAAGTGTTTTGAGGGAATACATCCATTGAAGCATTTGATACCGCTTCAATAAAATACTCTTGAGGTTGGTTCCACATCTTGAACCCACTGATTGAATTTGCTTGGATAATCTCGCCACTTGACAAAGTACTCTTTTTTCTTTGTATTAGGGTTTATTCTTGTTCTTATTATTTTCTCGATCTGATATAAACTTGGTTCAATAGCTGGTATAAGTTCATTGTGGTAGAAAATCGAAGTGATTGCTTCTCCAGCATAATCTTCTAACCAATAGATCCATCCTTGTGCTGTCCTCTTGTGTCTGTTTATAGTAAATATCTCTAACTTGAAGTTCCTTTTAGCTCCTTTCTCAAAAATACCTTTTTCTCGCCTTATTCGTACTTTTGAACCAATAGCAAACGGCTTATAATTTACATCAACCCTTGGATGACTTTTCCGTATATTTTTCAAAACCAATGAAGAATTTTCAGGGCCTACTTCGGCAGGTGCCATACCAATGGTCCTATGGAAAGAATTATTATAAGATTCAACTATCTCATCAAGAACATTTATGAACTTACCGCTATTCACATGATGTAAATAGCGATAAATACGAGCTCTTAAAGTTCCGTTAAATCTTTCAACAATCGCACATTTTATTTTTCCATCGGTAGCGTAAAAGTGATTTATCTTTTTCCGTTTCATTAGAGCTTTGAAAGCAGAATTTTTGAACTCTTTACCTTGATCACTTTGCAGTTTTTCTGGTACCCTGTTATTTATCAAGATATTTTCCACTGCCTGAACAACTTCAGGTCCTGTCTTCTTTTTTATCGGTTGTGACCAGGCAAATCTACTAAAACAATCAATCACATTTAGTAGGTAACGATAACCATCATTATATTGGCTAACCCATGACATGTCCATCAAATCTATTTGCCATTGTTCATCAATTTTGTCAACTAAGATTGGTAGTCTAGGGAATCTATTTTTATTCTGCTTGAAAAGAGAATATGTTTCTTGTTTTTTCAACCATTTTTTTACATCTTTTGACTTGACAGTTGGATCAACTTTTCGGATTCCCATAAGAAGTCGATTCACTCCTCCAAATGATCCTATCGCTTTCGGCGAGTAATATTCTCTCTCATAACGTTTGAAGCTTTCAGCCATGTTATGTTCACTGTTTTTAATTTCTCAAGTGCTTTAGGATTAACAATATAGCTCAAACACTCTCGACAACTTTCTTTTATGTACTTTAAAACTTCTGTCGTTCCATTTGGTGCTCTTCCAGAGTAGTTTTTTGACTTTAAGTATTCAACAATCCTTTCAATGTCACTACCTTTAATCTTACCATCGTCACTCATTATTTTATTATCAGCGCCAACTAAATCACTCTCTTTTTTCAACAATGATAGTAGATCGTTGTCTACAAGACTTGTTCGGCTTAGTGTCGATGACTGTCGCCTATGAAATGGACCTTGAGATCCTGTTGGTGTTTCGTCACTTTCCTTATTGTATGTGTTGTCTAAAGTAGTGTGAAATGAATCTTCAGAGTCGTCGGATTTCACATTGTTTTCGTCCAAGCTTTCATTCAACTCTTTTTTCATATCTTGGTATATTCGATACCTGGATTTTAGTTCATTCCTAAGACGACTCTCGTCTTTTTCTTTTACCTTTTCTTTTTTTATGTCATCCTTCATCATCATTTGATTGATTAATTTAATTTTTACACTACTAGGTAAATCTGAGTTCATAATAGGGTCAAAGTCTATTTGTTTCTTTTTCAAATTACTGTTATATTGATCTTCAGGAATCAATATCATGCGAGTTATTGTATTCATTTTTCTATTTGTTTTACAAGTAGATTTGCGAGAATGGTTATAGCTGGAACTAATAAGCCTTTTAAGAGTCCACCTTTTTGAATTAAAATTCTTTTGGCTTTTTGACGATTTATTTTTCCACTAATATTTCTGATCTCGTTTTTGAATCTTTTCACACGAGCTTTTTGCTTTGCTGTTAAATGAATGTGACCTTTCAAGATTTTACGAGCTATTTCTTTTATAACTTTCATTACATTACATGGACATGATTGAATCAATCTTTTTCTCTCCTTTATTTTCTTTGCTTTGCTCAGAATTTTCAGAGCTGGTAAAACTTCGATTGCTTTTGAAACAGACATTTTCGTTTGATCCAATTTTATTTAGTGTTTCTTATACAGCTAAATTTGATAAGCATAAATCACTTCTTTTTCTCCTAAAACGTCCGTCAATAATCTGACTTCATCCGGTGTGTCTGGTTTACAATCAATGAATAAATAAGAAAAAGCGCTTATTGTTGCATGCTCAAATATTTGTCTGAACTGTTGTGATCGTCCTGGGAACATTTGTTTAGCTAACATGGATGAAATTGATTTATCTCTTGGGTTTTTAAAGAGAACAATATAATGAGAGTTCAAAGATATATTTCTTGCTTCACCACCTTTCATGAAAAAGTTTTGAACAAGTAAAATAACAGAAAGGTTTCTATGGTGACTTCCTTTCGTGAAAAGCTGAGAAACTAATCTTGAATTGGATGATTCATGCATCAAATCATCAATTATTATTAAATGAGCTTCTTTTCCATCGATTTTATCAAGAAAACTTTCTGGTAGGCCTTTAATGAACTTTACACTTTCCATCTCATTAAAAATCGGTTGATATTCTGCGTAAAAATAGGTGATCAATGTTGGAACTGGATTAATGACTTTATCCCTATTTTCAATTAGTTTCTTAACCCAAAATGATTTGCCACATCCACTTGGACCAGACACCATCATTGTGAACGGATGCTTCAAGTAAATTGAATACATTTTTATATGATTATTTCTCTTTATGATTTTTCCAATCTTATTTATTTCTTTTCCATCTTATATGTTTGAAGTTTGTTAGAGTTGTTATAAGATAAAAGCTAATTATTGAATAGATAAATCTCAGTTAATTTATTTACTTCAGAATCGTAAAGATGTTAAAACACAAACTGCTCTAGTGCACAAATCTCAACTTTTTTGCTTCAGAGGCCTACGTTAATTTATTCAATTTGCTCCAGAAGCGTACGGTTATACACTACTCACAATGATTAGCACTTTCACAATTTAGATAATCCGTCAATTCCATAAAAGTTACAAATGAGATAATAAACAATTACAATTCAATTTTAAGCAATAAAACACCAAAGCAAAAAAAACATTTAAAATGGAAAAACTTTACAAATGAACTTTTGAAATAATTTGTTGTTTCCTTCATGCAACTATGAGTGTTTCTAATAGTTCCCAAACCAACCGATGTGATAGTTGTTAATAACTGTACTTTAACCAGTTCATTAGTAGTGGAAATAAATTTGGTGTGAAAACAATTTAAAAACAAATAAACAGTTGAAGTTGATAAATTGTCGGTTCACTTTGAATCATCACGAATGATTGTTTTGAGATAAATTTTGTTGATTAAACATTGGATTGTATTGATACACTAATCATTTTGATGTTTGTTTAGCCACTGAGCATCTGTGAATCTTAATTGAGCACCGTCTAAGAAAAAAATGACCACAATGGCCACAGAAAACGGCGAAATTTGTGTGGAGACTCTCGAAATGGTCCAACCAGGAGCTTCGAGAAGCATAAAACCTATCACAAAGCGGGCATTTGACCTTTCCATGGGCATCTTCATAGGTAAGGCCGTCGAAGATTTTAGCCAATCGATTTACATCAATGTTGTAGAGTTTTCCTTGAGTCATTCCCTTGAGCACTCGTTTAGCAGTTTCCTTGGGTATTTCATGTAATAATAATTGCTCGAAATCGGATTCACCCCAAGGCTCTTTATTTTGTACATGAGAGAAAGTGTATGGATCTGGATTAACTTTTTTCGATTCTTCTAATCGTCGTTGAATATGCTCTATGTTTCCAACACGAATAGTTTCAGGAAAATTTTGCTCCATTAAATGTCCATCTTCGATCGTATTTCTATTGTAGAACCACATGTTCTGACTACCATCACGATATGGAATTCGTTTTTCGAGTTGTTCATCATTTCCTTGGACGAATTTCCCGGGTTTACTTTTATTCGAAAAGTTTGAATCTCTTTTAGCTCTTTTGGCCCTTCGAGGTTTGATTGTCTCAGTCTCTTCTTCTTTTAATTGTATTGATGATTTTTTTAAATCTTCTTTTTTCACTTTGATCTTTCTCGATTTCGTTGGCTTTAAATTACGTTCGATCATTTGTAAGGATCGTCTTAAAAATTTTATCGATTGGAGATTTAGGTTCAATTTAATAGAAATCGAGTCACTTACACTCTTAGCTAACTCAATTGATTGAACTAAATACTTTGTTTTTCCATGACTATCAACATCAACCTGAGGTAATTCATTATCGGGATCAGCTTCCGTTTTAATCAAATCGCATGGATCAATCTTAATATCGGTATAACTGTCACAAGAGGCCATTTCTTTTCCAGGGCTGGTCCTTTCATTTATTCGATCACTTGCCAATTTCGGCTTATTACTCGAGCTGTACAAATCACTTTCACAATCATCAATAACTTCAGATTTTATCAGAACTTTTGTTGATTCCATGATAATTGTAAAAGTTTCGAAGGAGAATATCAACAATTAATAAAACACCAAAGAAAAGGAAAAGTTCAAAACCATTAAAATTTAAAAAAGGATCGACTAATTGAATGTCTCAAGATCATAACTGATAAATCCACTAATTTATTTATAAGTAACTTGATTAGTCGGTTTAACTTTTTCTTGAACTCAAAAATTACTTGAATTGATTGTATCTAAGTAGATTCAATAATACAGTCAACAATTAATTTTGAGCAGTTATCATTAAGAGGACTTTGATAATGGTTTTATCGATTAGATATTTGATTCTTTGTCGCAATTGACTTTATTTACAAGTGAAACATTTGATTATTTACTTTTGAATTTCGATGTTTATTTTTCTGGACAATTGTGAATCCTCATTGGAGGAGTTCTGAGGTATAAATGGCCGCAGCGGCCACAGAAGCCAGCGAAATTTGAATGAATGCTTTCCAAATGTCCTATTACCGTCGCTCGACACCCATAAACTTTACCACAAAGAGGACATTTAGCCTTTCCACTTGGTTCTTCATGAATGAGACGAGTAAAAATTTGACTCAATCGATTCTGATCAATTAGATAGAGCTTTCCTTGTGACATTCCCTTGATTACTCGTTTAGCAGTTTCCTTGGGTATTTTTGGTACTAATAATAATTGTTCGAAATCGGACTCATCCCAAGGTACTTTGTTTTGCACATGACTGAAAACGTAAGGATCTGGATTAAGCTTCGTTGATGCTTGTAGTCGCTTATCAAGGTGATCTGTGGAATAGGAACAAATATTCACAGGGAAGTTTTGTATTTGTAATCGTCCATTTTCAATCAAATTTCTAGTGTAGATCCAAAAGTCTTTACGATTCTTAACGTTGAGTTCAAAGCGCTTCTCAAGTGTTCTGTTGATTCCGTCAATAAGTTTTCCTTCATTATGTTCATTCTCGAAGTTTGGATCTCTTTTAGTCTTTTTGTACATTCGACTTTCATTTTCACTTTCACTTTCGTCTGTAGATGATTGATGATCAGTCTTATCGTATCTCTTGATTGATTCCAAATAAGAATAAACTTTTGATTGCCATTTACGTTTAGTTGTTGACTGTGTTGACTCGAGACGATCTTCGACTAATTTCAATGATCGTCTAAGAAATTTGATGGACTCTCGATTTAGAGACAATTTAATACGAAAAGAATTATTCGTATCAATAGCAACCAAGGTGGATTCTACCAATGAATTAACCACTTCATGACCCTCGACATCAACCTGAGGTATTTCATTGTCAGGATCAGTTTCTGCTTCAATCCAATCACTTGGACTCATCTTAATTTTTGCATAACAATGATCACCAAAGGCCGTTAATTGACGAGGGTGGGTCGATGAGTTTCTCTGGTCAAGACAAGACAATCGCGATTCACTTAATTCATCACTTCCACAATGATTAGCACTTGCGACTTTAAGATAATTTGTTAATTCCATGATAA